ATAATAAGCTGCAAGGTTGAAACATGCTTCTTTTGGATCTGAAGCCAACAGAACAGTTTCTCATTACAACTATTTTATTATAATTTCCCTCGACCTTATTTTTATGCTTACTCTGACATATTTAGCCACCTCGCCTCATTATGTAACTCCCACACTAGATTAAGTGATTTCCCCATTTTTGTACAATCTCTCTGTTCCTACTCTCGCTCCTAAAAGAGTTTTTAGAAGTCAATAGGAAAGATCGCCAAAAATTACAAGACTACTTAAGGAAATATTAATAGCAAAAAAATGCTCTAACCAAACCCTCAGGGGCGTGGTTTCTTTCTTTCTTTCTTTTTTTTTTTTCAGTTTGGAGATGGAAGGGCCACAGACTGGCTGAAGCAGCTGTCCAGAATTCACTCCTTGTGGAAGGCACTGTTATTTTATATATCTTTTTCAAAGTACCTGTTTTCTGATTATAGAAGGAATATATATTCATTGTATAAATATTAGAAAATAAAAATATAAAAAATAACTGCATCTTACTACCTGGAGATAGCCACTTTATCAACTTTGTTTCATTTCCTTCCATTCTGTATTATCACATAGGTGTGTATGTAACATGAAACACACAGAAATACATATAAACCCACACTTAAATTAAAAGCCAGAAATGGAACAATCCCATACTTTTCCATTATATCATGAAGATATAACTATTGATAATTTGAGATTTGCTTTCCCCAACCCCACCATTTAACATAGGAATCTATTTCTATGTTAATAAATAGAACTCTACATTATCATTTTAGTAACTATAGTATTACACTGTATCAATGCATCAGAATGCCAAATGCTATCATTTTTCCCACTACAGAAAATGTTGCAATCAATACCCTTACTGATACATCTTTGTACACACCCTTCATTATTTACTTAGGATAAATTCTCAGAAAAGGAATTGCTGGGTCTAAAAGGTTTTGATAAATATTGCCAAATTGACATTCCCATCAAAAATGTGTGAGTGTCCATACCAACACTGAGTTTGCCATTTCTTTTTAATCTTTAATCAAATTTTATTGGAGAAAATGGTATGCCATTTTAATTCCCCTTCCTTTACTACCAAGAATATTTTTACATGTTTATTGGCAATTTAAATTTTTTCTTGTATGTATTTTCCTATTCCCACCCTTTGCACATTTTTCTAGTAAAATACTCGTATTTTTCTTACTGCTCTGTAAGTCTATGTATTAAGGACAATGAGTCTTGTTGCAATTGTTTCTAGTTTTCCCATTAACTTTATTTATGGTTTTAAACGGAAATTTAAATTTTTCATATAGTCGATTATACTAATCTTTTTCTCTCAGTCTATCTTTTATATTATGCATATAAATATCTTCTCTACCCTGACATTATTAGTCTCCTGTATTTTTTGAGTACCTTTATCATTTCTTTAAAAAAAAAAAAAAAAAACTTTTGATTCTTTAATGTAGCAGTTCCCAAACAGGATTAAACATCAGACTTGCTTATAGAGTTTCTTTAAATGTTCAGGTCTTAAGACTGAATCACAATTTGCACGGATGAAATCTGAGCTGGCAATTCTGATGCACCTCTCCCTTTATTAATAAATTATTTTGATTCTTCTAAATTTACATTGGTATCATTTACCCAAATGATTTCAGCACATTTGTTAAGTACTAATTTCATGAATTTGAAATGCTACCTTCATCTATTTGGTAAACTCCCTGAGAGCAAAGACCATATCTGTTTTTATTAATCATTACATCTCTAAGGCCCAGCATAGTGCCTGGTGCACAACTGGTGCTTCATAAATGTTAACTGAATAAATAAATAACATCTAACAACACAAGTCTCCAACTTCATCCCATTCCAAACTGGTTTGTCTTCTCTTCAACATTTGTTGACTATTAGACCAATAAAACTGATGTTATTAAATATGACCCTGCGTTATCAAAAATGTTAAATTATGCCCAGTACACTCTGTTTAAAGTGGCGAGGAAATGTATTAGAGGGCTCCATCAAATGAAGTCAAAATAATAATGCTGACCATGTTTAAGAGGTATGGGAATTCTGATCCAATTCTCAATGGAGGAACTAGACAGCGTTGACCTGCAAGACTAAGGAGCTTTGGCTTTCTCTAGCTCTCAGAGTTTCTCAGCTAGCTCCAGAGACTGACTCAGAGCTTCCTTGAGCTGAATGGCCCACACACACACAATCTTCCATGAGCCCATGGAAAGAAAATTGGAACAGGGAATAGGGAAACCTGAATTTTAGTCCTATCGCCACTATTAACCTGTTAAGTGGCGTGTCACTTAACCTCTAGGGGTTGGGCTACACGTTTTCTAAAGATCTCTTCTGCTCTAAATCTCTACCTAAAGACTCAGACAGACTACCACAGGGCAGGTCTTCCAAGGACCACATGAAATTCTCCCCACAGAACAAGGTCCCAATCCCGCCCACGCTATAGCAAAATAATAGTGGTAGTGGGGTGGTGGTGGTGGTAGTAGTAGTAGTAGTAGTAGAAAAGTGTAGTAGTAAGAACAACAATAGCTGTCACTAAATTTTACCAAGTACTTATTATGATACACAATATTCTAAACATCTTACTACTAATAATAACGGCACACACACTTATATGGCACTTAATATGTTCCAAGTGCTTTGCATATATTAACTTAATTAATCTTCATCGCAGCCCTATAAGGTGAATTCTATTATTATCTCCATTTTACAAAGGAGAAAACTGAGACACGGAGAGGCTAAGGGACTTGCCCAAGGTTTCACAGCTACCAAATGATGGAACCAACTGAGTTGAACCCAGACCCATACTTTTATCTACTATACCGTATTGCTACTCAAATTATCACTGTACTATGCTTATCACCTCAGAGGTTGCGCAAAACAAAAAATAAGTAGAGTTACTTATGTGGAATACTCCCCTCTTTGCTAATGGTAGAAAAATTAGGTTTTACTCCAGTGTAATTTTAAGCAGATCAGATTTCAGGTACTGAGATAGCAAAATATTTTATTAATAACATTTTTATTAAGAATTGTTATGAATTAAAATGTTTGTATTATAAAACAAATCATTAACTACTACTGACATTTCCATTAATCACAGAGAAAACACATAAGCTCTTTAAATATCATTAGGAACAAAACTTTAGATCCCCACCTGCACAAACTCCAGTTCCATACTTTCAGAACTGGCTTTTAAACAGCATCTTGACAGCCCACAGGTGTTTCAAACAAGACAGGCCAAACCAAACATGGTACACTAACTTCTAGTATGTCCTTCTCACCACCTCCCATGTTCCCTATCTTAGTGAATGGTACCACTGGCCCCTGGCACCCAAACTGGGTGTCAACCCAGGCTCGATTCCTCCCACATTGTCACAGAACATTTCTAGACTTCATCCCGTTCTCTCTCTCCTTGCTGCCCCTGCTTCTGCTCAGATCATCACCTCTTCCCTAAACCACTATACCAGAAACTTCCCAAATGGCTCTTAGCTTCCATTCTCTCCGGCTCCAACCCCACTTCAACACTGCCGCCAAAGTTATCTTTCTAAAACAAAATCTGATTATGTTACTTCCCTGTTTAGAATCTTTGTCTTCAGGATGAAGTGTAAAATCCTTCCTAGAACATACAACGCTCTTTATTATCTGGCCCCCAACTACCTTCCCTGCTTCATCTGAGGTTGTGCCCCACAGATCTCACAGGAGGCAAACGGCAACTTGGAAGTTCCCAAACAGTGCTTCTCTGTCTGCCCAGAATGCAATTCTCATTTGTCCATCTGGCAAACTCCTACTCGTTTTTATTAGACCAGCTCGAAACTCATAGTTCATTATGCTTTCCTCTGGGCTTCCATCGCCTTTTGCACCTCTCCCTATTTTAACACTTTTTCAACCTGACACAATAATTTATTTGTCTGACTCTCCCATAAGACAAGTAACGGTCTAGTGTTCCATGTCTTGTCTCTGTATTGTTTGTTGAATGAAAGAATGTCTCAGGATTTAAACAAGAATATCCTAGCTGCTCCTGATAAATGCCCACTGTGTGAGTCAAAATGGGCATACAGGTCGAATCCCATTTCAACAAATGTTTTTAACTTGACAAGCCTGGTACATCAAAAATAGTTGTTACATTTGTATGGCTACATATTTGAAGCCATAACCAACAGGAGGCAGTTTTAAAAGATACATTAGACCACCAACAAACCTACCTGTGGAATATTTATAGACATGAGAGCTCTTCACTCTAATCCTTAACCTTCTGTGAATAGTACACCAATATGGATACTGTTTGTCTACCAATTCTTAAGCCTACACTCCCTTGTGATAAACATAAAAATCCCACACACCCTGGAGATTCCAATACTCTCCTAAAGGGCCCAATCCTCGACCCCCACCAAAAATAAAAATAACTTTGTGCATGGTAGGAATTCATAGGTTCACAAGAGATGTAACCCATCAGGCAAGATATCATTGAACTTTGCTCTTAGGTAGTTCATAATATTAAAACAGACATTTTCCTTCTATCACCAAATATAAACATTGTGACATTAAATATGTTTTAAAGTCTTTAATGGGAAGAGGAAGCCAGGGAGGTGTTGACATCTGTTTCCCCCATTTTTGAGAAACTTATGATAGAAATTTACTGGAAACAAATGAAAAACACAAATATGAAAAAGTATCCCGTTTCCTCACATAAAACCTCCACGAGCACATGTTCAAATGAAGAGAGTTCTTTGAAAATGCTTCTGGCACTACGTTTTCCTGCTACTTCCTCCACTACCTCTCTATACTCACATTAAAATGATTTGAACTTCTAACTAGCAGTGACTTCTTTTAAACTAATATGCTTTGTCCTCGTGAAGACAAAGGGTTAAAGAAACAGCTGGCTGCCTGCCACTAGCTGGGGGAGGGGGGCTTGGTTGGGTAGGGATGGAGGATAGGGAAGGAGGAAAAACCAGTTAGAGAAATGAGTATTAATTTCTTACCCTGCCACGTGGCCATGTTTTTCCTATCCTCTCCCTCGTTAGAGTCACAGGCTCAGAGTTTCCCAGAGCCCCCCAGTTTTGTAGGGAGGCTTGAATGGGATGTAGATATAACAGCAGCTGTGTGGTCTTACTTTCTTGCCAGATGCTCAAGTCCTAAACCTGAAAACATAAACAGAAAAATGAATACCTAAATGAAAAAAATTCAAATCCTTGAAAATTATCTCCTGTCCCTCCCTGAACCTCTCTTTCAAAGATATACAGACACAGGCAGTGTCAAGTTCCCCCTAAGCAGCAAGGGATGGCTGAAGAAATATAGAATGGGGAGATCTAGAGTCAGTTTATATTGCCATTGAGTCACTGGATTTTCAGTAAATGGGTTTTGGAATCTCAAAGGATAGGTGGTTGGATGAGATAACCATCTTTCCTATCTTGACATTCTATGCTTTGGGGAATGAAGAGCAGCATAATATCCAATGACCTCCCCAAACCCCCAACTTTACATTAAAAAATATTAGTAAGGACAGCAAATTTTATGACTAAAGTTTAAAATAGATCTTGTATAGGAAAAGTAAAGAAAGGAAGCATAATAAAAAGAGTGATGCCCCCTGAGTAGCGGTTCTTCCTCTCTGCTTCATTATACTTTCCACACTTCACCAATGTCCTATAAGGAGCATATATTGCTTTTATAATTGGGGGGGAGCAAAAAAAATTAAAAATAAAATATTAATTTAAGTAATGCCAAATTAATTCAGCTCATTCCTACCTTTAAAATGTAAAATTTAGTCTTAGGACAATACTATTTGCAAGAATATAAAAGGCAGGCGCTAAGAATGGGAGAAAAAAAATGAAAGGTCTGACTACTTTGTTTGATTCAGAGGTTTAATATATTAAACACTTTGTCCATTTAAACAAGTTATTAATTAATAAATTGGTCTTCCTTATTTTAGCATAAGAGCCAACCTGATTTTTCTAAGAAAAAGTCCTCACCTTTTTGACCTGGTGAACAGCAAAGTAGATTGCTATTTACATAGCTTTTATACAAGCGACACCTCCACCCTGAATTGAAAGCGCTAGCGCACACGTACCGAAGACTAATATTAAGGCTAAATTAAGAGTCATTATTTTGATCTTCTTGATTTTTTTTTTTAAGGACAACCGTGTGAACGTGTACACGAGTCCGAAAATCAGCGATTGAGAAAAGACAATGCTTTAGATAAGGAAAGGTTCTCGAAGTCCAAGAAAACTAGGAACTCACAAAGTCCCAGGATGGATTCACCAGGAAAAAGCGCTTGGATGACTTAATCTGAAACCTGGGACACTGTTTTGAGTTTGTGTCCACCACCACTTCCCCCCTCCCCGCATCGCCCCCCCCCTCCCCATTTCACGTGCAGTTAAATAGTACTGATCCGCGCCTGGCAGAACCAGGGGAAATTTAACATCTCTGAAGTCCAACTGGGTAACTGCTAAAAATGTATGAAGTTTATGTAAAGCAGATTCTTACTGTCTTTTTATGCTCCACACTTCTAGATTTCCCTCTTATTCGAAGTAGCTTACACTGACGTTATCACACGGGCACGCGCACAATTTCACTTGGCAGTCCAGGAAACTGATTTGCTCTGAAATGTATAAAGGTAAACGCGCATCAGCGTGAAGGTAAACCTATGCGGAGTGCAAGCCTGCAAAGTCTGGAGAGGACCAGCTACTCGCGTTAAGTGGGAAAAGGAAAACTCGCAGCAACTACTTTTTCGAGAGTATGGACTCCACTTTGCTAAGAGCCACACCAACCTGTGAGTTCAGAGTAGGAGGGAGAAGAACAGGGCCTTGACTGAGCTTTACCAGTCAAAGCCACCCTACCCCAGTCCTAGAAAGGGGACGCCTGCAGCTAACCTCTCCCATTCAAAAGCGGGGCGGGCTTGGCGCTGCTCGAGAAAACTTTGCCGGGACAGAGCAACGACCCTTGCTCGAAGACGAAGGCTAGGCTACGGGGAAGATACCACCCTGCACTGGCTAGAACTAGCCGATCTAACTCCTTCGACTGCCAGGCGGAGGCAGCCAGGCACCGGGAACCCCCACCTCCAGGGGGCCGAGCCAGCAGGGGAGCGCTTCCCCGTGTCGCTGCGCCCAGGAGGTGCTCCAGGGGCCAACCGTCTGCGAAGGACCTGTTAGGGAAGGAAGAATCCATCTGTCTTTACCTGTCGCCGAGGTCAGGAGCGGCGGAGCCCGTGTCCGCCGGGGACAGGCCGAGAGCTCAAGTCGGTTCTGGCGTCCAAGTTGAGCTAGCGCCCCACGTAGCCGGCAGAGCTTCATTCACAGCCCTGACGAGAGGAGGGGGAGCTGAGCGGGCGCGCGGCTCATGTGACAGGCGCCTCGCCAAGTATCGCCGAGCACAGCTGACGTCTGCGCGTGCGCGCCCTTCCCGGCCCTCTCCGGGCACCTCAGCCGAGCGCGGAGGGGGCGACGCTAGCGGAGGAGGGGGCGGGCAGAGACGGCAGCGGTGAAAGAGGCGCTGGGAGGGGTTTCCGCGTGCGCAGCCGCAGTAGGCCGGCCCTGCTTGCTGCCATATTTAATGAAGACGGGGCAGGTCCTAACGCAGAACTAGGCGTGTCAATTGCTTTTGAAGGAGAAATATTGCATTATGTTTCACTGGTTAGAGCCTGCGGTACGTTTTGTTGGTCTTGTCCTTAGGATGAAACTGTTTATCCTGCGCTCCTGGTTTGTAGTAGAAAGTGAATACTAATTATATTAGCTCATGTATTTTTAGCCTCTAATTATATTGAAACACTGTTCCAAGCCCTTTACTTTTTTCATCTCATTTAATGCCCACAATAACCCCATTAGGATGCCTACTATTATTTCTCCACTTTTATTCATAAGAAAACTGAAGCACAGAAACGTTAACTTCTCCTAGCTCACACAATAGGAATAGGAATAATTACCAAATATAATGATACTTGTAACAGCCAACTTAATCCTCATTGCAACACTGGAAAATCTACACAGCAATTTTCATTATTATACCCATTTCAATAATTAAAATTAAAACGAAGGCTCAGAAAAGCAAAATTCATAGGTCTTAGTAAGTAGTAGAACTGAGATTCCAACCTGGATTTACCTGACGCCAAAGCCCTTGCCTTAGTATTGGAAGAAACAGACCCTCATTTTACAGAAGAGAAACAGGCCACAGAGATATGTTGACTTACTTAAGATGATCCTGTTAATAATTAGTTATTGGTAGAACTGAGACAGGAATCTATATAAACCATGTAATCTAACTAGAATCCCAGTACTCTAATTCAGAATCTACTCTGGGCAATTTTGGATGCCTACTTTGGACAACGTAAGTGATCAGTAATACGAGATGGCCAGTCAGCATAAAGCCACCAAGGACAAATCTGTAATACGAAAAGTCAGGCTTTTTGGCCTGTTGCAATGAGAGAGCCCACACCAGAGAAACCGTGGGACCAAACAGGGTGGAGTTTAGGTGAAATGAACCATTATTTTAGTAACTGTAGGAGAGTTGTGCAAGATATAACCAGAAGATAAATTGAGGCCAATTTTGAGGATCCTGAATGTTGGACAGATTTTTACTTAATTCAGAAAGTAAAAGAAATTAGACTTTTGAGCAAGGGAATCCCTTCACTAGAACTGGCTTTAAGAAGGTGAACCTGGGGTGATTGTTCAAGGAGAGGTTTGTTCGTTTTCGTCATTGCAGGAAACTGGAGCTTACCTGTAGATTTAACAGGAAGCGGCACTAGTGAAACAGAAATTGAAGAGGCAAGAAAAAAAATAATGGAGTAAAATATGTGGAGAGATAGAAATGAGATGCAAAATACAAGCTAACCTCGGGAAAGACGCCTCTTTCTCTGAGACAAGAAAAAGATGGGTTGAAGGATGGCAGTCTTGTTAGAAGCAGATTTGTCATGAAGCTACCTCTATAAGGCAAGCTCCGTTTGGAATTAGTAGTTATTTGGGAGAGCTTGGGCAGGAGTGGTTTATGACAAGTAAAAGAGGGATGCAGTACACCCAGATTACCACGTGGTGTCGCCGCTGACCGCTGACAGGTTGGAGGGCTCCTGCTGGGATTTTAGGAATACATTTCAAAAAAAGAACTCTTTATCTTTTGCAAATTGCAAAACAAAACAGTTGTGAGAGTGGGCTCTGGAGCCGGACCGCCTGGGCTCAGAATCAACCAGACTCAGACATTTAATAGCTGTGTCACCTCATTCAAGTTACCTAATTTTACTCTCCTTCAGGTTTCTTGTTTATAAAATGGAATAATAGGATAAAATGTATTAATAGAAGTAAAACAGAAAAGATTAAACCCTCAATAAATGTTAGCCAGTGTTACTATTAATGAGGATGATGATGATGAAGTCTCCTATAGTCTTTGGATTCCCAAGTTTTACAGGAGTTATTTATATGTTGAGTAACAAATGCCTATACCATATACCTTCCCAGATGAAGTGGTTAGAATGTGGTGTTAATGAGGCAAAGTTAATAATTTAATCAAGAGTTATAGATTCTGTTAACTCTGTCCTCTTTTCCATGAGAACCTTAGCCAGGTGTCCCACAAGTGTGTGCACATGGTCACAAGTGGATCTGGCCAAAATTAACTTAAATGAGTCCTATGCTCTCTTCTCTCTTCCTTGGAAAAATTGAAAAAATGTTCCACAGTGGTCAAAAGACTTAGTCAAAGGCCATTTCGGGTTTTATAAAGCAAAGAGTAAACACAATGTGATCTTAAAAGTTAATTATAAAGAAAGAATAAAACAGTAAATTTCTCGATATAGTGAAAGGTAGCACTTTAGAGTTAATTTTGCAAAAGAAAAACCTTCAGAGCAATAGATCACAGTGACATCTAAACTCTCATGTTCAAAGCATCTTTATCTTTAATTTTGAAATTGTCATTGCAAATACGGACTGAAATCGTTACATGAGTACAGTCATGTAAAATAGTAAGTGAATGTTTCTAGTATTGTTCTTATGATTTGTCCCACATTTTGTTTAAGCCCTTACTATTGTGCCAGGTACTGTATTAGCCCTTAGGGATATTAGCTTTAAAATAAAATGTGTAGGGTGCCCAAGAAATGCCTAGGATAGTTCCAGGAAAAAAAATGGTCAGAACAGAAGGAAATGAACAAAGTTCTTTACCTCAAGAGATCTATAAAGACAGCAGATCAGGAAATTCTGAAAATAGAGTGACCTAGAATCATTTGTAATTGCCCCGTACCTGTACACCGAGTATCAAAATGAACAAATGGCTTCTATGCCAATAGCTTTTAGGCTAACCTCATGATTGGAGAAACAGTAACAAAAACTATAATGGGATATCATTGGTAAAGTATAAAAATATTGACAATGCACTATGTTGTCAAAGGTGAGGGGTCCTCTCATAAATTAATGGTGGGAGTGCAATTAGTCATTTCAGGGCAATTTTGCAATAACTATAAAAATTACAAATACATGAGACTTTGATCCCAAAATTTCATTTCTAGGAATTTCTCCTTCAGTTATGTGTACATTGGTGTAAAATGTTGTGTATACAAGGTTATTCACTGTACCATCGTTTGTAATAACAAAAAATGAGAAACAACCAGATGTCCATCAACAGAGAACTGATCAAATAAATAATGGTACATCTATCCAATGAAAAAGCTCTTTATGTACTTATGTGTAAAATTCTCTATGATACAATATGTGAAGAAAGTAAGATGTGGAGCTGTGTGGTTTCCCAATTTTGTGCCATAAACATGTATTACCTATTTAATTACATATCTTAAAAAGTAATATAGAAAAAAATTTGAATAACCTGTCAAGGATAGCGTTTAGATTGAAGAGCCAGTTTGTTAGCTTACTGCCTTAGTGCCACCTAAAGAAAGACCCTCTTAGCTCGTGAGCATATAATAGAAAGTCTATGATATGCAAAAACCCAGTCTTTATAGTCTTCTAACTGGGGCCAGTGCAATTTTTGACAGATAGTTTTCAAGAGAAATTTTACTTTTATAAAAATGCCATATCAGATTGCCCTCTGTTTGAGAGAAATCTAATCCTGTCTAGATTAGTGCTGCTGGTAGTTTATGGGGACAAATATGAGAGTTTAGGAAGTGGTTTAGAGGATTTGCAGGTCTCTAATCTGTAAATCCATCCAGGTCTATATAGCCTTCTGTTCCATCAAAGGGTTGAAGTACATGGTACAGTAGTAGTGGTTTCTCAGAATTACTGTGATACCTACCTGTTCACTCCCTAGCATGAGAGCTCCTTGAGAGCATGATCCATGGCCTATACTTCTTTTATATTCATCACAGCAATGCTTTTCAAACCACTTGTGGAGAAGGACCGTTTCCCCCAAAATCCATCATGTACAATAAAAATGAATTATTAGAAAAACAAAATCAAAACAAAGACATAAAATACAAGCCCAATTCTTTTATGATTATATCCAACAGCCATAAAATTACTGTCAAATTGTTGTTAAGATTTCAAAATGTTTACTCTCAATTTCTTGTCACAGACCAGTAATGAATAGTTTGTGGACTGGCACTGGACCATGGACCACACTTTGAGTAGTATTCATTGCCTTACAGCACTACTATAGAGCCCAGCTTATGGTAGGCATTCAATAAATGCTGAGTTTAATTCATCATTCTTATAGTGTTTTCTACTTTGCAAGGTGTCTTCACATCTCTTTCCTTCTATCCTCATACCACATTCAGAATTAAGCAAAGCAGATTTTATCATTCCCATTTGACAAGAAGTTGAGGCATGCAGATTACGTGATTTACCTGGTCTAAAACAGCTCCTTAGTCAATGTTGCTAGCTATTAGAGAAATGCAAATGAAAACCACAATGAGATACCATCTCACACCTGTTAGAATAGCTATAATCTACATAACAAGCAATAACAAATGTTGGAGAGAATGTGGAGAAATAGGAACCCCCCTACACTGCTGATGGGACTGCAAATTCGTACAACCACTATGGAAGACAGTACGGAGGTTCCTCAAAAATTAAGAATTGATCTACCATATGATCCAGCAATCTCTCTACTAGGTATTTACCCCAAAGACTTAAAAACTCATATCTGAAAAGATATCTGCACACCGATGTTCAAAGCAGAATTATTCACAGTGGCCAGGACATGGAAGGAACCGAAGTGTCCTACAATAGATGATTGGCTAAAGAAGCTGTGGTACATGTATACAATGGAATATTACTCAGCCATGAGAAAAGATGAAATACTGCCATTTGCGACAAAATGGATGGACCTCGAAATAATCATGCTAAGCGAAATAAGCCAGACAGAAAATCACATGATATCACTTATATGTGGGATATAAACCTAAAAGCAACAAATGAACAGAACAAACAAACAGAGATTCATGGACATGGACTATAGTGATTACCAGAGGGTAGAGG